TTTTGCTTCTCTTCGAATCGTATGCTATAAATTTAGCGCAAGTTTTTCACTTGTATTTGTGTTTGTTTTATATAAATAAAATCGTGGACTGATAAACACATCTACACAAATATAAATGCACAGCAAAAAAAAAATTGGCTAATTGTTGTTTTTCCAATTCACGGTTCGAGTTTTACACAGAACAACGCACAAACACAATTACAGTTCCGATAGTTACAAAAAAACTGGGGCTTGATTAAAGCAAATGTAAAGGTAGATGTTATTGTTAATGTTAACGTTAACGAAAGTGTTCATGTTAATACAAATGCAATTGAATGAAAACACACACGCTGCTTTGGCTCTGTCGGCTGTGTCGCCGTTGTTAACTGCTACGCGTCCAGCACTCGACTTGCCTGAGAGCAGATACTGCTGCCTGCTTTATAGCTATATACCCTACACTTCGATGCTGCTATTAAGTGGGTATGCTCAGTTTTGGTCAAGCACAAGTCATCGAGTGGGAGACATCGATAAAAATAGTGTAGATATCAACTCAAAAGATCAGTTCAATTGATTTTAGCTACTCGTATTACTACTTATTGTTTATAAAATAATTGGAAAAACTGGGCTGAATCTTATGATATTTTAAATATATATATATTTAAGTTAACTTTTTGTTTAGAAAATGTTATTCAACCAATAAATGTGACATCAAAATTTCTAAGACAAACAAACTATTTATTTTCATAATTTGTTTTATAAAGTTAGTTCGTTTATTTATATTATTCATAGATATTGTTTGTAAATATGAACATATGTATATTGGTTACAGGGTAGTAATAGTTCGAGTTGTACATGTGTGTTAGCTATCGCTAGGCGCACACACGCACAAACACACTCACACACACACTGAATTCAGCAGAGCAGAGCAGAGAGAGAGCAGAGCAATTGGCGCCTTAGCTAAGCGTTAACTGTTAACCAAATGCGTGGGCTGGCGACAGACAAACCGGGCTTAGCATACAGTAAAGACTATGCACTTGACCACTTTCCCCCCTCACGCCGTGTCCCACCTCCACTCTCTAATGCTGCAGCGATTCGCACACCTAAAGCAGCGCAGCAGCAGCGGCCGCTAACATTGTCACTCTAACGCTGCGATTATCAATGCTAGTGTGCCGATCGATGGGACCGAGGGAGGGGCCGAGATGAGCGGCACTTTGATTCAAATGCTGACCGGCTCTCAAAATCTTTAGCATTAGAACTTTGACCAGCTGCTGCCGGCGACGGCCACACACAATTTAAAAACAGAGATAAAAATCAGGTAGATAGGCCCGTGTAGATTGATGGATAATTAACTTTTAAAGAATAGCTAGCAATTCTTTTATTTTATCTATGCCGATATTGCATGTACATGCATAGGTACAAATGCCATATGCATGTAAGTATGTATGTCATATTTATGTGTGTGCATGTAGGGGCTTAAATTATTTATTACTTAACAAAATTTCAAAATTCCTAGCGCTCTAATCAATTGTTGATTTATTCATAGCTAGCTAACATAATAATTTACAAGTGACGCATATTTAAACCTATAACGAATACATATATACATATATACATATGTGTGTTATAGCATCTGTAGTATTCTACAAATCTCCGCTTTCCGTTCTACTCAATCTCCCATAAAATATTGTCTGTCGACTAACTGTGAGCATGGCTTGATTGATGACGTCGCAGCGTCACCGCTCGCTCTTTCGCTCTCCCTCTCCAATTCTCGTGCTCATTCATTCGCTAGCGCCATCTACCATCTAAACAGGTGCTTTGGGACGCCTCATAGAGTCAATTACAACACACAGGCAAAAAAGAACAAAATAGATAATTATACATATACATACATATGTGCTTATGAATGTGGCTGTGTGTATATAGATCTGCACATAGTATATATACGGAAATAGTGAGCGATTAAAATATATATATATATATATATATATATATATATATATATATTTGTATAAATAACTGTGTGTGTCTGTGCATATGTGACTGACGACTAACACTAATATATTATAATTCACCATGAGAATTCATAATATTAGATAATAAGTAAAAAAAAAATACAAAAAGAAAAAAAAAACACTAAACAATACGAAACTGATTCGCGCTTGTCACTGCACGTTTTACTCAACAAACAATAAGTTGCTATGTTTGTAGATCGAGGGTGGATCTTAAAAATGTACAGTTAGAGAATTTGTATAGTTCCCCTGGCAGAGGGTGGACTACGTGTAGAAATATCCATTGCAATGAATATGATATTTAGAGCATTATTTTATTGAACTATAATTATTTCATGTAAAATATAATGGAATGATTTTCTTTTTGCGATATCAAAATAAAATTTATAAATTATAATAATTATATATATTCCTTCTTCAATCTTTGCTAGCTAATATTAGATTCTCAATTTATGTCTTTTTGCTTTTGCATTTGATAAGTTTGGAAAAACATTCAATATCAACAGATTACATAAATTTCTACGCATTCTAAGCAATCAGGGGCCAAACATAATTTAGACACTCTTATATATATTTTTTTTTGGTTATCTCTAAAAGCTTTTGCATTCCTTATCATTTTTCACAAGGAAGTTTTATAATTGCTGCTCAAAAATACAAATTACTAAAATAGTTAAATGTGTAAGTAATATTAGAATGCCTGGTTATGCACAGTTATCAGCATATACCTAAACTAGGTATTTCAAAAACCTTCAATTTCTATCAACAGACTTTGCCATCGGCTCCAGCTGTCGCAAGTCTTGTCAAGCGTTCGGAGCTTGAACTTGTTGCGAATTGCAACGCGCAAGTGTAGAGGTGTGGGCGCTTTTGCAAACTTAAGCATTTAGTTGTTGCAGTTATACTTGTTTTTTCACTTTCCTGATAGGTCATTCATAGGTTATTTCTCCCTATAAAAACTTCACAATCATATAATTATTATATAGTATATATGTTGATAATGGACAACAACTAGTTACTATTCCTGTTTGTTTCGACGCACTTCAGCTGAAATCTTTAGCTATATGTACATTTGATAATCGCAAACAATTTCAATCCAAGTTGAAATACACATGAACATTTGGAATTTCCATTTATGGAGTATTTTTATTAACCCAAACAATATTTGCACACTATTTAAACGAACCATAAAATGAGATTCTGACGAGTTCTGAATGACTGCTAAACAGCCATAAAGATATACTTAGGCCTTATAAATATACTACCCAGACATTTCTCGTGCACATTTGCAAATATTTACCCAACCCGAGCACAGGGTTTTTCGTCATTCACTATTTCTTTTTGGATGCTCTATTTAACTAGGTTTGGGTTTGGAAGACTGTGCGTCAACCAGCGGGGTCTGGGTGAGCACCTAAATTCTGACTTTCCACTTTGCACTTCGCACTTGACTCGCAGCCTGGGTTGATTATCATATCGTGAGCTTTTGTGGTCTGTCATGTTTCGATAAAAATAACTTTAGTTATTGGCCAATTTATAAGGTGTTGATATAAAAGAATTGATTGTCGAAAAGGCATTGATTAATGGACGTGACTTGTATAAATGCACATATGTATATATATACATATATATAGATATATAGATATATAGATATATATGCATATATTTAAATACGATCTACTTGGTTCATAATATATGGCACTTTGGTTAACACCTGCCACAATCTTGATTTTGTTGGCTGCTTCTTCTAGACTTAGCTCAAAATATGCGATCCTCAGTTTGCATTTCAATATTTCTTAATTTAACTGCCAGTTCTTAGCCGTCGCTACGCTTCGGGATGCACATTTTTGCGGTTAGTTTATTGACCGAGTTCAGGCAGCAACTGACAACCGGCAACAGGCAACTGGCAACCGGCAATTGGCAACCGGTTTATGATCCAAACCCAAGTCGCCTTTCAGAGATCAGCGACCCAGCTGGGCAAAGCAAAGCTTTTCATTAATCAGTCAAATTTGTGCAGCCAAAGGGCAGTTCGCTTGGTTCCACTGGGGCTCACACAATACACACATATATATATATATATATATATATATATATATATATATATATATACATAAGACCTATTTCACAACATTGCCAGATACTTGCCGCACTGCCCCGGCACGCTATCCAATTACCGGCAATTGCATGACACATCGCTCGATGATGAGCTGCCGGCATGACTTGCCGTTTATGGCAAAAAAAGGAAACAAAATTGACGAAAATCAAACCGAAGATTAGATATGCTTGCATACTTATCAATATTTATGATATCTGAACAAATTTCAATCACGATAGGCTCAAGAAACTAATTTTACATAATACCAAGAAAAAAATGCTATCATGACTAGTTTAATTCTAATTTGTATATCTCTTTCGACAAAACTTAAAGATGTTATAGCTAATACCTATGTCGGTTCTTAACTCGTTTTGCAACACTGCACTTATGTTTTACTCTAGTCTAGCAAATCAATTATATATTACAGGAAATATGACTTTATATATATTTTACATTTATATTTTATATATTTTGCTGCAGTCTACATTTAAAATGTGACCATACTCCATACCCTTGTTAAAGACATTTCAAGATATAATTTTCGAAAAGTTCCCCAACCAGCTCAAATATATATTCCACATCGACAGACAACTCTTGACTAAGGCCCATTCAGAGCAATTGGTGTCACCAAATGTGCCAAATTGTCGCATATGGCCGGCGCATTGCAGGGTGCAGCATCAATTGAAATGCCGCTGAATACGACAAATGTGCGGTAACTGAATAAATCAATTGAAAATTGATTGGCGCACGCGTCCGAATAGAAATAGAACTCTAAGCACAAAATAAAATCAAATGGCATTTCGAATGGGACAACTTACGCATATTATTAACAGTTAATATAATTCATAAAAATAATTGGCTACATTTAATTATATACAAAATGTACACTTTAAACATATTTAAAAAAAGAAAAAAAAAGAAGATAATATTATAATAAAATAATCATAAAAAAATGACAACAATCAAAAAACTTGGCTAAACTAGACGTTATGTGAATGGGAGAAAATAGGTGGATGAAAGTAGGTGTTGGTGGGTGGGCAGGCAGGCGGCAGGCAGGCATGCGTCCAGGTCGTGCGGCACCTTACTTAAAGTCAGCATCGGTGACCGGCGGCGATTTGCGACGGCGGGCACGAATGCAATCCTCCAAATACCAGAGGGCTATGGCCATCACGCAGAGCGCATTGAGACAGTTGAGGGTGAACGCATAGCTGGTATTGTCCCGTATCAGACCTGCGGCATATATCGGATGTTAGGGATATTGGGCATACGAGTCGTCGGTTATTAAACACAACAGAACATGCACAGTCACGTACGTGGGGAGGGAGGCGAGGTTCTACTTACCGATCACAGGTCCAAATGCCATCGAGAATGTGCCTGACATCAGCAGCTGGAGGCCGGCGGCGGCCGGCAAACGTTTCAGCGGCACATAGCTGGGTATGATCAGGGACCAGAAGACGGTGCGGAATGCCTTGTTCAGGCCGAGCCACAGAAATATGGCCACCATCACATAGAAATTGGTGGTCATCGATAGCAGAACACGGCCCAGGCACATGCCCAGAATGCCCACCACAAAGAAGGTGCGATTGCTCCAGCTGAACTTGGCCGTGATGAGCGGTATGAGGAAGCGTATGACCAGATCGAAGAAGCCCAGCAGCGACATGGCGAACGCTATCTGGCTGCTGTTGAAGCCCAGATCGCTAAGGATGAAGGGCGTTAAGATGGCGAAATTGATTTCCACAAAGTTGATCAATGTGATGCCCACGGCCAGATTGACATAGGTGATGTCGCGCAGCAGATCCAGATCGAAGAAGATGACAATCTTCTGGTAGAAGGGCAGCTTCTTGCGGCGCTCCTGCTCCTGCTCGTCCTCCAGCTGTTGCAGCTGCTTGGCCGTCAGCAGCTGTGGCTTGAGCGGCTGCGTTTGCTCATGATTCTCAAAATCATAATCGGCAACGTCCTGATCCTGCGTCTCCTCCTTGATGCTGTGGCTAACGGAGATGCTGCGATGCTGCCGCCCGCCAGAGTCACGACTACTGAGTCGCCTCAGCTCCAAATGGCCGCGCTCGCCACCCTGTTGCTTGTCCCAGCTGTTAAGCCGGTTCCGCGTCCCGCTGCTGTTGAGGGAGGCACGCGAACCGAACCAGCCATCGTTGGCACGTGGCAAGACTGGCGTTTCGGGCTCGACCACATGCTTGATGATATCCTCGTCCTCGTCCTCGACAAGCGCCTGCGACTTGGGCGGCTGCAGCGCCTCTGCATCCTTGTCCCGCTTCACCACATGCCACTTGACCGGCTGATAGATCAGCGAACAGGCGATCGTGTGCAGCGAGGCGCCGGCAAACAGCATTGTCGTGCCCTGAACCCCGAACTGCTGCAGCATGAAGGTGGCAAAGTATGGGCACACTATGGGGCCCAGCCCGGCGACGCCGAACTGATACGCGGTCGCCGTGCGTCGCTTCGACTTGAAGTACGTGTTGACCGCCAGCGAGGATGCGGACACTGTCAGGCCGCGTCCAAAGCCGTAAATGATTGAGAAGCTTAGCAGATACAATGTGAACGTATCGGCAAACACCATCCAAAACAGGCCCACAAAGGTCAGCACCGAGCCAACCAGGGCCACCAGCCGGTACGTATACCTACGGAACAATGGACCATTCAGCAGACCTGGCAAATATACGTAAGATTTAGATTTAGATACACAAAGACTTTCCGAAGAACAAAAACGATTGCGAGAATGCTCGCTTCGTAGCCAAAACTGGGGGCTTGAACTCTTTTACTCTATTTAGTTGACTTGGTTAGCTTGTTACATATCTTTAAGGGAATTCATGGTTCTCTTAATAGACATAACTTTCTCCCAGTGGAAAGCAGAGTATAAGTCTCATTGGAGCTCATGGTACTCGGAGAACTATGGTTCCACTCTAAAGCACCAGCTTGGACAAACCATTCTTTGTGGATGGCAAATGTGAAAATTGAAGATTCGTTTCGTTTAGTTTCGTTTCGTTTGGCGACTCACCTGTGAAGGCTGAGACGGCTATCTGTGTGTTGATAATTGTGGTCAGCTCCGAGTTGCTGATGCCCAGGCTGGCGAACCGGGCGCGAAAGATGATGCCAAACTGTTGCGCCAGCGCGAAAGTGACCAGCTGAAAGGGTTCGTAATGTGAGTATGTGTTATATGATTCGATAAGGGGGGGACTTAGGATTAATATCGGCGGCTACTTACAATATTGATGCCGCTGGCGACGGCCACCAACCAGCCCCAGCCGCCATCGGGCGCCACAAAATCATCGCCCAGGTCGCTCTTGTCCCGCCGCTTCTTCTTTGCGGGATGCTTATCTGGATGCGCTGCTGTTGCTGTTGTTGTTGTTTTTGTCTGCTTGGGTGGCTGTTCATCATACTTTGTTAGTTGCGGCGGCGTCGCGGCCTGCTCCTTGGGCAGTATTAGTCTAAGTGCGCCGGTGTTGCTGCTGCTGTTGTTGTTGTTGTTGTTGATATTGTTGTTATTGCTGGCCGGGCTGCTGCCATTTTTGTAATCAGTCATCGTTAAAAGCTGGTCTTATTGTTGCATCCCTGGGTGGTCACACTGATCATTGGCTGGTCACAAGATGCCTGCAAAAGTTGAATGGTCGCAACGTGATGAGAACTAGAATTAGCTGCTCTTTAGGTGCAGCTCAACTTTTAAGGCTACCAACAGAATTCACTTGTTCGAAATGCATACTTTGCCTTGTAATTCTCAACAAGTTACAGCTGCGAAAAGGACACAGTTTGCAATCCTAGGATCGCTGATGATAGACTCGGCAGGTTCTAGTTGTCAGTCTAGAAGAAACAAGTCAAACATTTCGCCCGCATCGTGGTGGGCACCATGTTACCCGGACTAAGAGTCGCTATCGCTGCCCCCACAGATCAGAGACAACGGCAATAGGTCAAACTGATGTCTAATACACGCCGTAAAATTATGCAAATCATTGTGACTGTCTTGTTTGAATATCGCCTCGGAATATTAGCCTAAGCAGCCTCCCACAACGACATGGAAACAATGCTGAGTCGCAATACCGACAGATTTATATTTTAAAAACTTTTATAATATACAAATGTATATCTTTCTGAGCTAGAACTTAATGTACTTAATACTAAATAACATATGTAGAAACCAGAGCTATTTGTTAACTTTCAGCTATATACAATTATAATATTTCCCGAAAACTGATTACAAGTACATATATATTATTTATTTATACATATATGTGTAAGTTTTATCTGCCAGTTGCGGAATAGAATGGAATAGCTTAAGTGGGGGGTTGCGTTGCAGCAGAAAGTGGAAACACTTCAATGGGCCAAGATAAGATCATGAAAAAAGCATCGACACGTTATTAATTAAAGGCTTTCTTCGTGATCCTTAGTTAATTTCCAAAGACAGAAAAAAAGAAACAACAACAGACACACAACCGCAAAGATTAGATTAGATGCCATTCAAAGCATTCCGAACATGGAACAGAGATGTTTATTCAACTCATTTGGCGAACAGTCGTGTTAATTAATCGGCGTATATTATTTTCATTATTATTATTTTTTTTTTTTTATAAACTATGCCCCTTGGCACTTAAACAACAATTACAATTATACAAATTTTTCAGAGCTATCGGAAGTATCAGAGCCGGCGGACTGATCGACCCGAATCGAACGTTGCCGCTGATCGCACTGACCACAAATGATATTTTCACTTAATTAAGTTCCTTCGGTTTTTGTTTTTTGGGCCGCAAAAGTAACACCCATTATATAAATAACCCGAAAATAAAACCTCATTGATTGCTGTTGTTCTTCTTGTTGTTATCGCTGTTTTTTATTTTATTTTTGGAATTTGTATCGAGTTTAAGCGATCACGATCACACTTTGAGAGCCCGCTCGCGGGGCCCTCATTTAGGGCCATATACCAGCCGAATATGGCATTGACCAGGCGCTCGAACCCCATAAACGCCAATGACGCCAGGCGATACCGTGTCCAAGATATCTTCGGCAATTCGTAATGATATGTACATATATGTATATGAAAGCCGACAAGCCAGAACCGAGAAACGAGAACGGACAACGTCAAACATGGAAATTGGCACGCGGTGATAAGCCAAACAATTCCACTTTTAACTTGGCCGGCCGTGCCTCCTCCACGTAACTGTTCCACTTCTAAAGGCGTCCACATCGACCACCGACGGGCGATAAGAGAACGACGGTCCACCTACCTCAGGTTGGTTACCTGGACACTGGACACTGGCGCCCGGATCCGGGTCCTTGCCTGTGGATTTGCGGGATAAGCTGCTGTTGACTGCTGTAAAGCAACAGCTCAACTGGCAGAACTTGATATAACTGGCATTTTGTCCAGATAGATAAATGAAACAACCCGAGTTCCCGAGCTCCCGAGCTCGCGAGTCAGCATCGAGCTCGCGTTCCCGAGTCGGCTGGCCGAGAACCGAGCTTTGAACCGACTATTATTGACTAATAATAATAATGTTGTTTAAATGTTGTGCGGAAGGTCGCCAGAAATACGTTTTGCACAGACTTTGTAATTGTTAGTTTGCTATTCAAATAACAATCTGTAAAAATAGTACGAGAAAAATCTCCAACAATTGTTTGCCAACATTTTGAAAAAACATTGAAAGTTTTGCAATTCGAGCACTATGAAAAGACTTTTAAATAGGGAATTTAATAAATCTATGCGGAATGCTTTGACTAGGAACTCTCAAACTGATAGCTGGAACTAAAAATCCCAGACTGCAGATTAAGCTTATCATATCTACCAAGAATCGGTTCACGAACCAAATCCTAAACCCCGAAAACGTTGTTAGTTTTTCCTTAAGTCTGTTTATAGATCGAATATATATATATATAAACATATACCGAATTGATTTATAAAAATCATTTTGTGCCTTGATTGCGTAAATTATGTCAAATGTAAAACAAAAGAATCATGTTTCAGCAGAAAACCTCGCAGACTTGAATCACCTTACGCAGAATTCTATTCAATTGATGGCGTAGACGGGGTACGAGGGGGGCGGGGGGGGGGGGGGGGGGGGGGTCTGTCACCCAATGGTAAACAAATGCAATATTCATGGATTATTTTGATTATGCTGGCTTCTTATTCATACAAACTAGCATATTCGACAAGCTCGGCATTCGACAGCCAGCATATGCCATAATTTTATTTGAACAATCATAATGTGTGTCAATATCCCAATAATATGACAACTAAGCCAGCTCCTGTTAGGGATTTTGCCTATGATAAGGCACTGAAACTGAAACCTTGGCAAAGTAATCAATCAAAAAGCATGTGCCAGGCTTGACGTATACTGACAGCAGCCACTGTTCATCAAGGCAGCCAAAGCTATAGCTCTTGATATGCATATGACAAGGCTTCTATATAGATATTGACACATGCATGTGATGACCAAATAATTCCATTATTTCCTGATGCTATCCTACAGCAAAAAGTACCCACTCCTCACATGCTGAATGGAAATTAAAAACCAACTAACAAATGTAGATATATATACCCATAATATATATGTATATAGTTAGTTTATTTGCAGCCAATCATTATCAGCCGAATGCGAATCATCGTTCCTCAGGAAATGACAAACAGTCGTAAATTTGGTGATTATACATTTCAGTAAGTAACTAAATATCATATTCTAAGCCAACATCCAACTGGGTACACGTAAGTGTTTATGATCTGGCACAGTAGACACCAGAGGCAGGTATATTAACTTTATAGCAACTAAGCTGAGAGCAAACATTAGTGCAATTAGAGCTCAAGCTGAATGAAATATACGACGAGGCTCTCAGCTCGCGACACTCCGTAAAATAAAACTGTATTTGCACAATGAAAAGACGAGACGAGTCGAATTATGCTAATAAGAAGAAAAACGACAAGTTGTCGAACAACGAAGTTTGAAGACCCTTCAAATTGCATGTATACCTATATATAACATAATAGGCTGATTTGTAGTTGTAAGGTTTTGTAGATATGGTAGAATCGAAAGCTCCTTCAGCTGATTGCTTCTTGACATCTATATGATATAGAAGTCAGATTTAAATAAGATTTTGTTTATATATATTATATATTAATATCGTGTTCAGTGAGGATAACTTGAACGTAAGTTTTTCACTGAAGAACTTTTCGTTAATGTTATATAATATAGAAAGACAGACCTAAGCAGAGTAACAGGACGTGGCTGATCACAGAATGTCACCTTCTTCTATGCGTGTCACACTGCATGACATACTGTAAATACCCTTTACGAGTGTATAATAAGCGAGACGGGCGCCTCTGTTGTGTTATGTTAGCCACTGTTCAAATCAACTTTCAAATAATTAGCGAATGGGGCTAGCGACAAGGTGTTAAGCCGCGTGCGCCGACGCAATGAGCCAATCTGTGATTGATGTCGACTTTGATTGATGTCCGCTAAAATTCAAATATTAACTGATAAAGGACACCTGAGCCACCTGATGTATGCACCGATAATACCCATAATTGCCATTTCGTTGCACGTGATACGCCAATTAGATCAAGTTCAGTGTGTGACAAACGCACGTGCGTTTTTCTTTGAGTGTAGCTAACGGTAAATGGTTAGCTAACAATCATTGAAATTAATGCTTAACTTTTACAACAAACTCACACACACACACACACACACACACACTTTAAGCCGGCATACGTTTTGTGCTTTTTGTTGTTGTTGTTGCTTAGTGCGTCGTACGCCTTGTAACAAGAAGCAAAAAAAAAAATAAAGAAAAATAATAATATTACACGCACACAATTGAAACAAAACGGGGGACAACTTTTCCGTAACGTACTCCAGCGCGAACTGAACCGAACAAATTTGTAAATTATAGTATTAAACGGCCGCAGCCGACCACAAACACAAGCACACAAAAACGCGCTCTCATTCTCTCTGTTTGTGCGTGTGGTCGCACGTGTGTGTGACCGTCACTGTCTGCCTGTGTATGTGTGTGTGTGTGTGTGTGTGTGTGTGTGTGTGTGTGTGTGTGTGTGTGTGTACTATATCATTTCACATGCGGAGCAGCTTTTTAAACATTTACTTTCGCTCGAACGGGATGTCCGCGTGTGCGTATTTTTTTGGTCTACGCTGTTTTTGTTTCCATTCGTTTTTATTTTCGATATTTTGTATTCGAGCTTTGACTGTTTCAACAAAAAAAAAAAAAAGAGAGACAAGAAAAGAAACGTTTGCAGCACACCGAAGATTGACTGCCCTAACAAAAATTGTATTCGATTTGTGTTCGAGATTCTTCTGATCTTAACTCTGTTTAAAAAGCTTTCGTTAAGCTCTTTTGCACTATATCAGTTGTTGGTTCAAGCTTTATAATCGTTCAAGAGTTTGCATATTAAAATGATCAATTTTTAATCAACTCTTATAATAATAAGATAACTTGACGTCCATTTGGTTATATTATATACTTAAATTATACTACTTTTGCAACCAACTTTTTCGTCATTAAAAAGTTAAAATTTTTCAAAATATTATGAAGGTCTGCAAAGCACAGTTAAAAAAGTTTCCTTTCGAACATTACACTATCTCTATATATATTGACTAAATATTTATATATGTATATATTCTATACAAAATTTGAAAATCATATTTGGTTTATGGTGTCACATATCGTGCGACAAAATTGGTATACCTTTTTGCTAGTGCATAACATCGAAAAGAAATTGTACATATTTTGTTGTATTTTTTTCTGATAAGAATTTTTGCGCCTCTGCTGTATTTATTTGCCGTTTGTATTGTTATTGCTGGGCGTCGGAGCGGGACAATTATCAGCACTCACAACACTCACACACACACACACGCACACAGGCGCGCACACCCATACAAATGCAGATAAAAACATAAATGCATTCACCAATACACACAGTTACAGAACTAAACACATATTCATAAATACATTACGATAGGAAGAGCGATTACAATTTGATTTGGCCATGGTCCACAGTGTCACGAATACTCGCGAAATGCGAATAAAAATAAAATAAATAGATTATTTATGCCTGAAATTGTGAACTACAAATTGTTAAGCTGTTAACTTGAAAGGGGAAACATTTCTTAATATTAGGATCTTGGTTAAGGTAAAATGAAGCTGTCATTTCATATAACGCATTTATAATTAGGAATATCTTTTCTTTTAATGTTTCTCGCTGTGCAAATCGTGCTTCGACCACTGTGCGTTTCTTGTAGTGTCTGGTCGAATGGTTGAACGTTTTCCTAGCGGCCGTATCCATTCCATTGCCAAGGCTAGTGCTTTTAGCCAAATTGAATATCACATATGTATGTTATATCTTTAGGCCCCGATGGCGTGCCATATTGGCCTATGTCTATGGAAATACGCATCAGGTATCTGATTGGTGAGAGCTCTCTCTCTCTCTCTCTCCCTCTTTAGAACTGGTCTATATGGCCTGCTTCAATGCTTTGGTCGAGCAAACAAATCTATCAATGCCTAAGACATTTTTATTTACATCAATTTGGAGCACAAAATTGAAGTACTTTTATTGTAGCTTCGCTATCCTAATAAACTAATAATAATCATCATACAAATATTTAGAAAATATAAAAGATTTTTATTTTTACATTTATTGGATTTCCTTAGTCAAGTTTGGAATAGAATAGATTAAATTATAGCATATCTTTTATCATGCCAAAACAAATTTTAGAATTGCAAGTACTTGACTTTCCAAGTTCTTGACTGTCCAAGTTCTTGACTTTCAACTTCCATAATTTTACTTTAACTGAACAGAATTTGCATCCCTTTTGTTAATGGTTTGTGATCCTTTTTGACTTGGCAGAGCCACAGAACCTAAGCCTGAACCGAACCAAAAGATGGTTTAGCTTATTGGAGAAAATAAATTGGAATTTTATTTTATCCTCATATATGCATATGTAAGTATGTGTATATATGAATGCAATCTGTCAGCTGAATATTCATTTATATATTCCTTTTTTGTAGCTTTGTTAAATGGCCTTCCGAGATGGCCTTAACAATTGGTTAACTTGCAATTAGGCGGCGGCTTCGGTGGATAACAAAAAACATTCCACTTGCTTGGACCTTTGAACATGTCGTTCATAAAAATGGTTTGCATTTAACAATTCTCTTATTGATAAGCTGAATTCTAATAATTGCCATACGCCTGTTTTGGCCGCGGTGCAAAGAGCAAAGTGGGTGTGTCTCCTGCCGCCCCTCTGCCCCAAACGGGGCCTGCGCCCATCGAAACAATAAAACAGAAACACGGTATACGAAATAAAAGCACATACAAATGAATATATATATATATATATATATATAT